GTGGAAGAAGCCACTTAGAGCTAAGAGAGTAAAAGCATCAGAGAGAGAGAGTAAACAGCCATAGAGAACAGGGATAAGACTGGGAGGAATGAAGGTTGCTTGGGCTGATCAGGCAAGATGTGTGTTAGGACAGAGCTATCTTTCTGAAACTTGCCCTCCCCCCTGCTAGAGACTCAGGGCCATATTCCTGTACATCCTTTCCCTACTTGAGCTCCTTCCTGGGAGACTAAAGCCTTTTCTTCTAGGCATGGGAGTAGGGGTAGTAAAAGCGATTTGTCTGTTGGTATCAGGTACCATATTAAAAGTAGCAGAAGGATCAAGTTGGCATTTTCACTCTAATCAAGGTAATAAGATAAATGAAGGACTAGGGACTAGACTTGAGATCCCTTTAGTAGCTGCTGTGTAGAGAAGAGAATGGATTGGAGTGAGGAGAACCTTTTGGGAGGCTGTGCCAATAGCTCAGGTGAGAGGCAGTGAGGGCCTTAACTAGAGTAGCAGTCATGATTAGGCAGAAGGGGATATATGTGAGAAATATTTTGGAAAGAGAAATGACAAGATCTGGCAATTGACTAAACATACGAGCTAAGAGAGGGATGAATCAAAGATGACACCAAGGTTGTATCACCTTGTGTTAACTAGAAGGATGGTGATGCCGTTGTAATAGGGAATAGAGAAGTTTGAAAGAGGTGCCACACATCTAGTAAGTGTCTGTGGAAATACTCAAATTCACATCTGACTCCAAATTTAGCATTTTATCTACTATGCTACGTTGCCTCTTTTTTGAAATGGTAGTTTCCTTGAACTTAGCATTCCATTCATAAAAATGTGATATCATTCATTGTGAAGCAGTGTGGTATGCTAGATGGAGCATCTCTCTCAAAGCCAGCAAGACCTGGGTTCAAGTCCTGCCTCAGACATTTTTCTGGCATAGTGACTTTGGACAAGTCACTTAACTGCAACTAAATCTAGTGCAGTGAGATATTACCTCACTCTGATACTTAGCAGTTGTGTAAAAGGTGCCTTACTGAATTGGTAGAGGAAATTTCCTCACCCAGGAGGTTCCTATACCAATGAAATCTCAGGTTTAGTCCCTAGTCCCTCATTTATTGTGTTACCTTGATTAGAGGGAAAATGCCAACTCGATCCTTGTGCTACTTTTTATACAGTCCCTGACACAGACAAATAGTAAGCATTGAATAAATCCTTGTTGAGTGAATGACATAGGGCAAATCATTCACCTGTCTCAGTCCCAGTTAACTCATCTATAAATTTGGCGTAAGAGCACCTACTCACTAAGGTGGTGAGGATCAAATGAGATAATATATGTAAGGCTGTTTGTAAATCTTAAAGTACTATATAATTGTGATTATTATTGAAATTATGATTAGTAACATCACTGACTGTTTTATGATTTAGCATCTAAAAGAAAATGTACATCCATAAAATTTAGAATAGGCATACTTTGACTAGCCCTAGCAAATAGGACCAACTTTCAATCATTGATTGAAATACTGTAATAGTGTTTCCAAAATCAGCACACTTAGGGATGTTATGAACCTAGAGATTGGGCTGTCTTAAAAGGTAATCACCATACATGAGAGTTGAGGGTATAGTCTTATCTGTGAATGCCTTCCTATGATAAGGGATCTATGCTATCTACCTTTAATGAGAGGTTGGCCATTCTAAAGAAAGATGTTGAGCTTAAAATGAACAGCCTTAAAGCCAGAATAGAAAGATCACTTACAAGAAAACTGACATAACTCCCTAAGACTGATGCAGTTTAAATGTATACAGTAAAATCACAAAAGCAGTGTTTATAGCCAGCTGATTAATTGAAAAAAATGAAAACCAAATTGTTTGCTTATTTTGATCTTAGCTTATTCATTCATAACTGAGAGCAAAATGGGAGTTATGTTAAGAATGATGGTTAAGCTTTATTTAAAAAAAAATTCAATTTATTTTCAGTTAACAAGGATTTATTTTCTTTTCTACTTCTTCCTAGTCCCCCTCCCCAAAATAAAAATCTTTGTAACAAAACATACACAGTCAAGCAAAACAATGTCCCACATTGGCAATGACCAGAAATGTGTTTCATTCTGCATATTTAGTTCATCACCTCTCTGTCAGAAGGCAGAAATCATTCTTTATCATAAGTCTTCTCTAAATTGATCATAGTTCTTAAATCTTTCAAAACTGGTCATTTTTACAACATTGGTATTATAGTATAAATTGTCTACTCTTTTTTAGTCTGCATCATTTCATCGAAGTTTTCTTGGGTTTCTCTGAAAACTGTCCCTTTCATCACTTGTTATGGTACAAGATACTTAAACTTTAAACAAAGTTGTCAAATAAACAAATATTGTGAAATATTCCATGTATCTTGCCACCTTGTGTGCAGGGATTGCAGCTGCCTCAGTTTTTTGTCTTGTCTTTCAGTTTCTGTATATCACAGATCATTGGACTTTTAAGTCAGAAGACTTGTGTAAATCTCTTAGATTCTCAGAGGCTCGGTTTACTCATCTGTAGAGTGGGGACAACAGCATCTGCCCTGTTGACTTACTCTGTGGCATTGTTTTGATGATCAAATGAGAGGATGTATATGAATGGACTTTGAACACTGTAAAGTGCTATTAAATTATATTCACTTCAAACCAATTTAATTGAAAGAAAAATGTTATTGGAAGCTTTCTTTCATCTGTCTTTAAAAAAGTAAATACTTCTTACATTCAACTTTATTGTACTAAAGCTATAAGACTCCTAGTAAACAAAGTTTCTTTTGATTTTAGAAATGTCTGATGGTTTGGTAACTAACTAAATTTCTATCTCTTTTTAATGCTGGCCCTTAGTATTCGCTCCATTCAACATTCAATTAGCATGCCTGCTATGAGGTAAAGTATATTATTGTGAAAGCAAGTAATTGCAAGAGTAAATGACTCTTGAATATGCAATTCGTCCTAAATGAATAGGATTCTTGAATTTGTTCTGTTTTTAAGCAGAGCAGAAGTGGTTTACTTTAAAAAGTAGATGAGGACAGAGGAGATTTGTACTGTTGAGAATCAAAGAAATCAGCACAACTTGAATGGCTAGTATGAAGTTTCAAAAGAAAGAAATATTGACATTCTTAGTTATTGATCATGTGAGACTGGAAAGTGTGGAAGGAGCTTGTTTCAAGTCCTAAATTTTTTCTCATAACAGTTTTTCTTTTTCATTTATGTCCTAGAACTTCTATCTTCACAACCCTTTTTGAAATCTGGGGAGAGGCTTCGTCATTGTTTCCTTAGTTACCTTGTAGACTGAAGCTGTGTGTTGCTTTTCTTTCGGTAAAAGCACTCCTCTCTCTGGAGCTGTGAAGGGTGCCAAATGGTTGTTTCACACACCCAAGAGTCATGTAAAAATGTAGTGAATACCATTCCAAAGTAAAGCTGAGGTTTACAAAAGCAGTGTTTGTAACCAGCTGATAAGCCTTGATTTATTTCCATGAATATGAAAATTATATTCTCCTATTTTGATTTGAACCTCTGACATTCCATTATAACTGAGGGCAAAATAGGAGTGTTATCAAATTTTCAGATCCCTGAGGAAATCCTATTCAGAAATACAAATGTGTTTTCAAGCAATTAAAATAAGGTAATAATAAGCACATTCTGTCCCTTCAGTTCCTAGGGCAGGGTCTGTCAGTCACTTTGGCCTCCTCTGGCTTGAATACTCTGCTAACCTTTCACACATTAACTCACCCTTTGCTTTGGCTAACAAGCCAAACTAAACCCTGCTGTTTTACTTTCCTCTAATCCTAAGTGAGACACTTGGAGCCATGTACTATGTCCTAATCCTTCTCTCAGCACCAGCTCAGTTTCCCCATGTGTGATTACTCTAATTTGTAATATCAAGAGAACTGGAAGGTTTTGGCAGTAAAGGAGATGAGTGTGTTTACTCCAAGTGTTCCACCTACTACAGTGAAAAATGGGAGGAGGCTTTCTCCCACCCCCGCCCACTTCCTTTAAGCTCTCAGCAGCAGGCAGGATATGCAGAGGCATATGTGCATAATATAAAAATATTACTGAGTTCAGTAATAGGAAAATGGTCCTGAAATAATGTGAGTAGTACCTGATGTGCCAGCAGATGTTTCATGCAGTTAGATGGAAGTGCCTGTTGAAAGGCATATCTGATTTTTTAGGCACACTTTGAGAATGCAGACTGATGGACAGATAAATAAGCAGGGCTTATCTCCTCAGGGACAGAGCTAGCTAGAGTTAGTCATCAGCCTCTCCTCCCTTCTTTTGATGTCTTTTCTCTACCTTTACAGCTGCCCCATGCCTCTTAAGGACTTCCTCATTATGGTACCTCACTAGGACCTGTCTGCTGTGGCACAGAATCATGGGTTAATGCTCCTAGGTTTTAATGGGCTTTATAGTTCAGTAAAAAGGATGTCAACCCAAAGAGGTGATTCTAATAATTAGCAGGACTGAATGATGAAGGAGATCAAAGAAATTATATTTTAGAGCAGGTCTCTCTCTAATCACACTACATAAATGTTTATCTTTGCTTCCATTATGTATGATTGACTCCACTCACAATCAATACTCAAAGTAAAAATGGAAAAGAAGGGACTTGCTTTTAATGATACATACATGTGTTGTGTGTATGTGCACATACATGTATAGTGAGGAGACTTGAGGGAATGGGGAGAAACGGGCCAGGATGCTTTTTGCTTTCATGTTAGGTAAATTCCTTTATGATCTAGGACTTCTTTGAAATTATTTCAAACTAACTTAGAATGTTATAATGTGTAATTAGATATACCAAATATATTTGGTTATTCTGCTGCTCAGGAATAGCTATGAAATTTTGCCTTGTAGTTAAAACTCTAATTCTTATTTGGACTAAGGAAAATAAAGTATATAAGTTACGAATGCTATTTCAAAAATTGTTATTTTTAAATTTTATGTAAATTTATTTTTCATGTCAAAGATTTAATCAGAACCTTTCTTTCCTTCCCATAGAAACTCACCTACTTTCAAATCATTTGAAGAAAAAGTTGAAAACTTAAAGGTAAAAATTATGATTTTCTAGGCCTTAGTGGGTATTTTGGGGGCCTTGACTTTTCCCCCTTGTATAAATCATTCTCTTCAGGGTTTCTGGAGCGTATATTGTTGCATGGCACTTTATCAGATGCTGATTCCAGAGAAATAATGCTTTAAAAATATGTGTTGGTTTTTGTCTTATATTTACTCATTTATTTATAGGTCTAATTTATTTATTGCTCTTAAAGATTATGTTCAAAGTAATGTTTATAATATGAAGCATTAGGCATGTATGATAGTGCTTTTTAAAGTTTTCTGTGGAAACACAGTGTTCTCTCTGATGCCACTTGGGATCTACTGAAGACTATTTGGGGATGTACATATTTATAACTTCTGCTTTCTAGGCCCCATACTAGTATTTTTTTTTTTAAGCTTACAGCCTCCTTACATCTGAAAAAGCTTACTACAAAAAAAAATTCTGATTTGAGAAGGCAGAACTAAGTCATTCAAACATTAAGGGATGCCAACGGTTTTGGTTCAGCTGGACAACTAGAGGTGTCAGCATAAAGTCTATTCTAAATGCTGTTCTTCATACTCTCTGGAAAAATCCTTGCAATATTTGATTTTGTCAATGAAGACCTAGAATTAACTTTCTGGTCACTTATTCTATACCACCACCACCCCCTTTCTTGGGGGGCACTCGTAACTTCCTCATATTCTTCCTACATTATGAAGTCTGTTCTCAAAAAGCACTTTCTTATCTTATCAACCACCAAATTACTGTGTTAAGTAATTTTTTCAAATTCCGGTTAAGAGATGCCTAAAAAGGAATCTTTAAAACTTAGCTGCATGCTTCGGATTGAAGTTGGACCCCAGTTTGCCAGTAAACTAATATTTCTACCTAAATTAATAACTCTATCAGTAGATAATATTTTTCTACTTGCACAAATTTATTTTAGATTATTGGCCATTCTTATAATTTATTTTTAAATTATTATTTTTATTTATAACCAGACCTGTGGTTTCATTAGTATATGGCATTCCCAGTGAAGTACATCCTTTACCCCCTATCTTCTCTGCAATTTTTATATAGTATTAGAACAACTTAAATAATATTATTTATGGAGAATTAAAAACTTTGTTGTTATGGCCATAATTCTTTTATGTCTGTGTTTGGTTAGTTACAACAGGAAAGATTAAGATCAAGTTTTTGGGACTCTTAGTTTCTTTGTATTTCAATGTTCACAGACCAAATCCCCAACTTCGCCACTGTTTTAAAAATGTTAGTCATGAGGGGACAAAGTATGTGAGAATGTTTGTATTTATTTTTTCCTTTCCTTTTTTTCCCCTTTTTTAAGTCTAAAGTTGGGGGAAATAAGGCTGCCGGAGGTGACTTTGGAGAAGTCTTGAATTCCACTGCCAGTGCCAGTGCCACAGAATCCCTGACAGAACAGACACAGGAGACCCAGTGAGATTGTTGCCTTTGGTTCTGCTACCCACTGCCAGATGCTGCAAGACAGACCTAAGCACATTGATAGAATGGCCTTGGCTATGAGTTTCCACCAAATGTGTTTTTGTTTAGCTTTATGTATTCATTCAAAAAATAGTTTGTGGGGTTAACTTTTTTCAAATTAAAATGTAGTGAATGGATTTAACCTGTTTTTGTTTTTTTTTCCCCTCCTCTCCAATCTTCCAGGGAAGCACTATTTAAAGATCAAACAGACTGCATTTTAGGATGTTTAATTGAGATCAGCATATGAAAAATGAGTATTTTCTGGAAAAACTCAATTGAATGATCTGAGAAACTATAATAGTATAATTTTGTTCCAAGCTTATGATTCCTATGGTACATTGATTTATTTTACTTCTGAAAGGTTTATTTTTTCTTTGTATTTGTATTTATTTGGTTGTCAAACTTGAATGCCATCCTTTCCACTTTTTCAAGTAATTCCTAATTATTATGCTTTGGTGTGCTTATTTTTTTCCCTTTCTAGTAAGGACTGCCAGTGATAAAAAAACAAACAAAAAAAAAAACAAACTCCAAATGAACTTATTTTAATTACTGTATGTGGTGGAATTCCCCTAGGGATTGTATGCAATTATATCAAATCTATAAATCAGTCATATAGTCATGTAATACTTGATTTTGTAATTTGTACACAATAGGTTATAAAATCCTACATGATCTGAGTGTGTGTAGTATCCACATTTCTGGTTTCCTTTGTATAGATTTATTAACCTTAGTGAAAGAGTAGTAGTTTTTTGTGTTGGTATACCACTTTCCCTAATGTCTATTTCACACTAGATTAAAAAAAATAATTGGAGGGTAATTGGCATATGGCAGTTGGTATATTTCAGTTTTGTGTTCATTTGATCCAGAATATTATTTTAACTTTTTTAAAAAATTCATAACACTAAGTATATTTGAATGTCAGACTCAAAAACTTATGATTCTTAGATGTAGGTGATTACAAAATGTTAGCATTAGAGAAACTTTACTGACTTCATTTATTTCCTTCATTCGCACCATTTAAAATAAAATGTAAAGCACACAAAGATGCACAACAATGCAGCATGGATTTTTTTTATACCTATTACTTTGTGATGGTTCTTTTGAGGATGTAATGGATTAACACAACTCAACACCTCCACCTCAGTGATTTTCAGTGCTAGAGTCTTCAATTGATTTTGGAACTATTACCTCTAACTTTGAAAACTGAGCGGTGGGATTGAATACCTTGAGGCCTGTAGAGTATCCATAAAGAGGCTAATAATGTACATTCTAATAACCACTTCTTAATCATTTCCAGTCTCTTGTGTTCTGTAAGTTTATGGCATATAGTGTTGGTGTTGTTTGTTATCTAGTTTGTAATTGTTTTTGTTGTTGATACAAAATATTCATTTGGAGGCATGACTTGATTTATTGAAGGATAAATTCTCGTATCAAAACCAAATTTCAAAACTGCCACAAGTGTTGTTTTAAATAATATGCTGCATCCTAATAGTTAGAGCTTTGTTAGCACTTTAGATATAATTGATAAAATGCTCTATTACATGTGAAATGCCTAATAAATTCTCTATCTCAGCAGTGTAGGTTGTAGTGTTTATTATACCTGTTGTTTGGTTGTAGCTTATTTTATTGTATCATACACATATATATATATATGAAATGCCTTTTCTAAATAGGAATTTTTCTTAAGGGAACCTTTTTTATTACTTTGAGACATTAGGTGACCTCCTTTAAAGTGCCCTCTCTCTAGAGTAAGGGTTTTTCATTTTTTTTATGTGTATCATGGACTTCTTTGGCAGTGTGGTGAAGCCTATGAATTCCTTCTCAGAATGTTTTTAAATGCATAAAATAAATAGAATTGCAAAGGAAATCTAACATATTGAAATACTTACCAAAATATTTTGTAAATGTAAATCCCCAGACCCAGGTTTAAGAACCTGTGTTCTAGGTTTCTTAGACCATTGTTTTTTAGTTGCAGGTTGTTTATCAGTGGTGATGTCACTGAGGTTGGATCTGAGGAACTTCAACCAGCTTTTTTTGTATATGGAGGTTTTGAGGTTTCTTTGCATAACTATGGTGACTCCTTAGCGCTATTCCCTTTCTATCACCTGGTCTTTCTGAACTTATTTTTTACGTTATTCCCTTTTGCCACATTGTTTTCTGGTCAATGGGGCCAGAAAACACCTCTTAACTATATGGGGGGAAAATTAATAAAAGGAAAGTGAACAAATATTTATTAAGCACCACTGGTATGTCAGGGACTGTGCTAAGTGCTTTACAAACATTATCTCCTTTGGTCCTCACACCATCCCAGTGAGGTAGGGGCAATTATTATCCTCCCCCATTTTACAGATAAGGAAACCAAGACATTCAGAGGTTAAGTGACTTGCCCAGGGTCACAAAGCTAATGTTACAGACTGGTTTTGAACTCAGGTCTGCCTGCAAGCCCTATTTACTGTGCCACCTAGCTGCCTCTAATAAAAAATCTTGCCTTTTGGGGTACCTGAAATTCTACTGATTCTTTTGTAACATTGCAAATAATCTTTAAGATTCATCATGATTAAAAAAAAATTAATCACCCAGCAGCCAACCTGGCTATGAAATGCTCAGAATATAGCTAAGTTGATCGTCTGGTAACAGAATCATTCCTACAAATCACTGAGCCATCAAAGCAGGACTGCCCTTTCTTTAATTGGTTGAACTATCTATCTTATTAATAATAACAATAACAACAAAATACAACAGCAGTTGGGGGGTATAGTTAAGATGGGGATGATCTCTAGTTCATGGGTAGGACTATAGGAATTTTGAGGCAGTGAGCAACTTAGAGATGGATCAGAAAGACCATTTGATATTCATTTTGCAAATCAGAAAAATGAAACCTAGTGGGAAGTGATTTGCCCAAGGTTATATACAGTTAATTAGTTGTAGAGTTAGCATGAAAGCCTGGGTCTTCAGCTGTGAAGTTCTGTATTCTTGTTACTGTTCCAGGGTGGCACCCCAGTCTTTTTGGCCCTCATTCTGGACAAAAGTGCCTACCCGTGTTTCTACTTAGAGGTAGACACCTCCCGATAAGGATCTTTGAAACTCTTGAGTTTGACAAGAATGACTGCCCTGCACTAACCTTTTCAAATTGGGGAATAAAGGAGTATTTTTTGACCTCACCAAGGAGGAAATCTCTGTTGTAGAGGTGAGGAAGCTAGGATGAAAAAAAGTAAGTTCTCTTCTATACAGTATACCTTATTCTAGAAGAGTATTCTGACAAGATCCCTCTGATCCTCAAAAGTGCCATAATGATGGGAAAACTTTCTTTTTCTTTAAATAGTATTTTATTTTCCCCCCAATTACATATCAAGACAATTTTTAGCATTCATTTTTACAAGATTTTGAGTTCCAAATTTTTCTCCTTCCCTCCCCTCCCCTCTTAGAAAATGGTAACTGATTTGATACAGTTATACATGTGCTATCATGTAAAACATATTTCCATATTCATCACAGCTGTGGAAGAAGAAGCAGATCACAAGGAAAAAAAAACCCACGAGAAAGAATAAAGTGGAAAAAAATGCTCCATTATGCATTCAGAGTCAATTGGTTCTTAATCTAGATATGGATAGCATTTTCCTTTGTGAGTTCTTTGTACTTGTCTTAGATCATTGTGTTGCTGAGAAGAGCTAAGTCCTTCATAGTTGATTATCCCATGATGTTGCTGATACTGTGTACAATGTTTTCCTGGTACTGCTCATTTCATTTTGTATCAGTTTGTACAAATCTTTCCAGGTTTTTTGAAATCTGCTTGTCCATCATTTCTTATAGCACAGTAGTATTCCATTACATTCATATACCACAGCTTGTTCAGCCATTCCTCAATTCCTCAATCCCCCCAGTTTCCAATATTTTGCCACCATGAATAGTGCTGATGTAAATATTTTTGCACATGTAGGTCCTTTTCTCTTTTGTATGATTTCTTTGGGATACAGACCTAGTAGTAGTATTGCTGGATCAAAGGGTATGCATAGTTTGATTGACCTTTGGGCATAGTTCCAAATTGCTATCCAGAATGGTTAGATTAGTTCACAACTCCACCAACAGTGCATCAGTGTCCCAATTTTCCCACATCATCTCCAATATTTATAATTTTTCCTTTTTTGTCATATTAGCCAATCTGATAGGTGTGAGGTAGTACCTCAGAGTTGTTTTAATTTGCATTTCTCTAATCAAAAGTGATTTAGAGCACTTCTTCATATGCCTATAGATAGCTTTGATTTCTTCATCCGAAGATTGCCTGTTTATATCCTCTGACCATTTATCAATTGGGGAATGGCTTGTGTTCTCATAAATTTGACTCAGTTTTCTATATATTTGAGAAATGAGGCCCTTATCAGAGACATTTGTTGTAAAGATTATTTCCCAGCTTTCTGCTTCCCTTCTAATCTTGGTTGCATTTGTTTTGTTTGTATAAAAGCTTTTCAATTTAATATAATCAAAATTATCTTTCTATCTAGCTTCTATCTCTTGTTTGGTCATGAATTATTCCCCTCCCCATAGGTCTGCAGGTAGGGATGGGGAGACTTTTTAAAAACTTACAAAGTATTTGATGTATAGATATATGACTCTAGAAACTTGTTGAAAATAGGTTTTGATATAGAGAATTAAGTCAAATTTATAAGAATACGAGCCATTCCCCAATTGATAAATGGTCAAAGGATACGAACAGGCAGCTCTCAGATGAAAAAATTAAAGCCATCTATAGTCATATGAAAAAATGCTCTAAGTCACTATTGATTAGAGAAATGCCAATCAAGAGTACCACATCACACCTATTAGATTGGCCAAGATGACAAAATAAGAAAATGATAAATGTTGGAGAAGATGTGGGAAAATTGGAATACTAATGCATTGTTGGTGGAGTTTTGAAATGATCCAACCATTTTGGAGAGCAATTTGGAACTACACCCAAAGGGCTATAAAAATGTGCATACCCTTTGATCCAACAATACCACTTCTAGATCTATATCCCAAAGAGATCATAAAAGTGGGAAAAGGACCCACATGTACAAAAGTATTCATAGCAGCTCTTTTTGTGGTGGCAAAGAATTGGAAATTGAGAGGATGCCCATCAATTGGGGAATGGCTGAACAAGTTGTGCTATATGAATGTAATGGAATACTGTTGTGCTATAAGAAATGATGAACAGGCTGACTTCAGAAAAACCTGGAAAGACTTGTATGGTCTGATGCTGAGTGAAGTGAGCAGAACCAAGAGAACGTTGTACACAATAACAGCCACGTTGTACATGATAACAGCCACGTTGTGCGATGACTAATACTGATAAACTTAACCCTTCCCAGCAATACAAGGATCTAAGACATCTCCAAAGGCCTCATGATGGAAAATGATGTCCACATCCAAAGAAAGAACTATGGAATTTGAATGCAGATCGAAGCACACTATTTGCTATATTTTTTTTCTCTTCTGTTTTGTTTCCTCTTGTTGGTGGTTCCTCCTATTGGTTCTAATTCTTACTTACAACATCACTAATGTGAAAATATGTTTAATAGGAATGTATATGTATAGCCTATATCAGATTTTGCGCCATCTTGGGGAGGGTGGTGGGGAGGGAGAGAAAAATTTTAAACTCAAAATCATATGGAAGTGATTGTTGATAAATCAAAATAATAAAAAAAGAAAATAGCTTTTGATATTAGAGATTTAATAATGAAATGAAATTAGCTGAAAATAATAGAAATTAAGGCACAGAGGTAAGCACTGTAGAAATAGTTATTAGTAACAGCATCCAGAATAGAAATTAAGCTCTTCATCACTTCATATTCATTGTCTTTATGTCAAAACATAGGGAGTCTAAAGAAAGAATTCAGATATAAGATCCTGAAAATATCCCCTAAAAGGGAATTTACTAATTGTAAGTTTCTGAGTAGAAAAAGGACTGGATCTGCAAGATGACAACCAAAAAATTAATATATAAAGATTACCTGTTATAATTCTGATATGCTGTTAATTGTAGTGTCAGTCCTAGCAACTTAAGAAAACTTCAGCTATGTACAAAATCTTATTTAATTGGAGATCCACTGTAGTTATGTCTTCTTATAGTACTTGAAAAAAGTTATAAAAGTGTAGCCTTGTAAGGATAGTCTTTCAGTGTTTAGGCATGAGTACAATTGCAGAATATTTAACTTTTCCTGCAAACCTTCATGTTTATATTGGGTTTTTTTTTTCTTAATGGAGGCTACTTTTTAGGGATATTGCCAATTTTAGAACTAATTCCCCAGTTGCTGTACTGTCTTAGTGAATATACAAATCAACCACCTATTCTTTTCTTGGTTATCAAAAAGCGTTTTTTAGGCACTTTTCTGTGTAACTGTCAGAATAGATCAGAATCATATACTTCCCAAACCCCAAAGCCTTGAAAAACTTTAGTTCCCTATTTATACTGAAGAAACAGATCTTTCTTCAATCCTTTTGTCTATTGGCTACTAATTACATTACTTTTAAATATTTTTGATGTAATTTTTAAAGCATTGTCACCTTATATGCATTTGCAACTCTTTCTGTAGCATAATG